ACTTCTACTGTTTTCTTCCAATTTATTTTCCAAACTTATGTTGTTTTCTTCCAATTCACGTTTCAAGCTATTACTATTTTCTTCCAATTTATTTTTCAAACTTTTACTGTTTTCCTCCAATTCACGTTTCAGACTTTTACTATTTTCTTCCAATTTATTTTCCAAACTTTTACTATTTTCTTCTAATTTATTTTCCAAACTTTTACGGTTTTCTTCCAATTCACGTTTCAAACTTTTACTATTTTCAACGCCTCCGCGAGCCGCCACTGAAGTTCCGTCTTGTTACCGCTTGTCGCTTCATCCCGTTTTTCCAATTCTCTTCGTAGCTCGGCTACTTTTTATTCGTACAACTTCTTTGCCATTGTAATGTCTGACTCAATCCCACACCTGACACCAGTTGTAATGTTCGTGGGTTTAACAAATTAACTTTTAAGAAGAAAACTATTTATTTACACTAATTATTATTGAACTCAAAAACACTATAAAATTATTTCTAAACTTCGGTAATTATTCTATTTATTTACACTACTGTTACTATTCACTGTTCTATTTATTTCACTTCTATCACTGTCAATTTATCTCTTGATTCACTTCTGCAACGTTCAATTTATTTCTACTCTCCTCTCGGCGATCGACTCTTCCTTTATATACTATTTTGTGTCTTTTCTGGAAGTTTCTCGAGCCGTCCGGAAAAGTTTCGTATTCTTTGAACTATTTAATTGCTTTCCGGAACGCAGGTACGACACACACGTTTACAGATACGGCGCACATGAAGAAAGGCGCCCGCGGCTAGTCGGCGGATCGATAAGCCGCTCACACACACGTATGCCAATACACATTGCCGTATACACAAACACGCTCGTGCTCGCTACAATACGAATAAAACGTGTGGAGTATTAGGTATCCGTATGAATATCAATTTTTGCCACAAAAATTGGACTTTATGAGCTATTCATATACGACACTAGAATGAAACAAACAAACCGAAAAAAATATCGCAAAACATGAACAATGTCTGTTTTTTATAGTACATTACTAGCAGCCCTTGTCAACCACGAACCGGTATGTTTCGCCAAATGAAAATAACAATGATTAACGGTGTTTTTGTTTTATCATCGACTACTACGATTAATTCGTAAAATAGATGATATCTGCCAGTAGGTGTAATATTTCATCTCAATTTAAACCCTTGTCGATATAGCGTACCTAAGTAACATCAGAAAGGGGCATACTCGTAAATAGGAAAATTTTGATTTTTACAAAAATTTTTCGCCTGTTTATTGAAGACAAGACAATACAATATTAGATAAACATATATTATTGTTACGTTTTATTAATTTATTTCAATGTAAAATGGACACCAACGTTTCGTTTCTGGTTGGGAAGCTTTATCAATCTAAAGTTAGTAAATGTTCAAAATACTGTGATTTTTATTACTAAAAATAGCAATAGAATTTTTCTAACAAGGCAATTCCGATGGGAAATTTAATTTCTCAGACAAAACTATTCTTGCAAAAACCTCGTAAAGTGTATGATTTTTGAGTTATCTCGAAAAAACTAAAAAATG